TGAAAGAAATGAAAGAAGATGTAAATAAATGGAAAGATATCCTGTGTTCAAAGATTGGAAAACAACATTGTTAAGATGCTGCTATGGACTGAACTGTGTCCCTCCCAAATTCACAGGTTGAAGCTCTAACCCCTAATATCACTGTATTTGGAGATAGGGCTATTGAGGAAGTAATTAAAGTTAAATGAGGTCATAAGAGTGGGGTCCTGATGCCGTAGTATTAGTATCCCTCCAGGAAGAGACACCACAGAGCTCACACACACACTCTCTCTCTGCCGTGTTAGGACACAGTGAGAAGGCAGGTGGGCATCTGCAAGCCAGGAAGTGAGTCCTCACCAGAATCCAACTATGCTGGCACCCTGATCTCAGACTTCCAGCCTCCATAACTGTGAGAAAATAAATTTCTGTTGTTTAAGCCACTCAATCTATGGTATTTTGTTATGGCAGCCTGAGCTGAACAAGATAGATGCCAACATTACCTAAAGTGATATGCAGATTCGATGTAATCCTTATCAAAACCTCAACAATGTTTTCTGCAGAAATAGAAAAATTCATCCTAAAATTTATAGAGAATCTCAAGGGACCCCAAAGAGCCAAAACAATCTTGAAAAAGAACAAAGTTGGAGGTCTCACACTTCCTGATTTCAAAACTTACTACAAAGCTACAGTAATCAAAACAGTGTGGTACTGCCATAAAGATAGATATCCAGACCAATGAAATAGAATGGAAACCCTCACATATATGGTCAAATGATTTTCAACATGGGAGCCAAGATCATTCAATGGGGGAAAGGACAGTCTTTTCAACAAATAGGGTTGGGAAAAGTGGATATCAACATAAAAAAGAATGGAGTTGATTCCTTACCTAATACCATATACAAAAATTAACTCAAAATGGATGAAAGATCAAAACTTAAGAAGAAAACATAGGGAAAAATCTTCACAACATAAGATTTCTTGAATATGACAAGGAAAGCACTGGCAACAAAAGAAAAAATAGATATGTGGTGGACTTCATCAAAATTAAAAACTTTTGTGCATCAAAAGACACTATCAACAGAGTGAAAAGACAATCCCTGGAATGGGAAGAAATATTTACAAATCATATATCTGATAAGGGATTGATACTCACAATATATAAAGAACTCCTGGGCTGGCCCCGTGGCTTAGCAGTTAAGTGCGTGCGCTCCGCTGCTGGCGGCCTGGGTTCGGTCCCGGGTGCGCGCCGAAGCACCGCTTCTCCGGCCATGCTGAGGCCGTGTCCCACATACAGCAACTAGAAGGAGGCGCAGCTATGACATACAACTATCTACTGGGGCTTTGGGGGGAAAAAAAAAAGGAGGAGGATTGGCAATAGATGTTAGCTCAGAGCCGGTCTTCCTCAGCAAAAAGAGGAGGATTAGCACGGATGTTGGCTCAGGGCTGATATTCCTCACAAAAAAAAAAAAAAAATTAAACATAGAATTACCATGTGATGCAGCAATTCTATTTCTGGGTATATACCCACAAGAAGTAAAAGCAGGGACTTGAACAGATATTTGTAAACCCATGTTCATAACACTATTCTTCACAATAGCCAAGAGGTGGAAGAAACCCAAGTGTCCATAGATAGGTGAATGGATAAACAAAATGTGATATACATGTACAATGGATTATTATTCAGCCTTAAAAAGGAAGGAAATTCTGACACACACTACAACATGGATGAATCAGAAGACATTATGCTAAGTGAAATAAGCCAGTCACAAAAGGACAAATACTATACCATTCCACTTATACGAGGTACCTAAAATAGTCTAATTCATAGAGACAGAAAGCAGAATGGTGGTTTCCAGGGGCTGGAGGTGGGGGGAATGGGGAGTTATTGTTCAACGGGTACAGAGTGTCAGTTTTCAATGTAAATGTACTTAATGCCACTGAATGGTACACTTAAATAGTTAAATGGTAAATTTTATGTATATTTAAATTCTATGCATATTTAAACATAAAAAACCCAGCAAACCAATGAGATTGGTTACCTACAATGAGTGTGCAGAAACAGTGTCCAAAGAATGGGGCTATGGGGTTGGGAGAGAAGAAATGATGGAGGAGTGATCGCGTAGATCTTTTTGTCTAATTCTGACTTTTGGAACCATGGTAATGTTTCACATACTCAAAAAATAATTAAAAATCAACCAGGATGTGTATATAGGGGGAAACCCAAAATAAAATACAAACAGTAACAAATGAACCTATATTACAAATGAGTAACATTACCAAACAGAAGGGTGTTAGGGAAAACTGTACTTTCACTATATACTGTAAGACCAAAAACAAAAAGAACTGTGTGGGATATGGAGGTATGGGTTAGCAATTTTTAAACTACTTTTTACTCAGGACTGAGCAAATAAATTAAATAAATAAATATATTATGGTTAATGAGAGTCAAGTTTTTCACTTTCAGAGAAAGAAGTTACAAAAAGGAAATGAAGAAGGCTAGAATAAACAGTGTGGTGCTGAACTGGAATTGGAGACATGATACAAAATCATAGCTTATCTGTGTGTGTGTATAGATACATACATTTCTAGCTGAGAGGACCTAGACGCAATGACATCCCAATAGCAATGAGCATACCTAATTCTGGTTTCTAAATAACATTTTCTAATAAAAGGAGTCAGTGCTCCCTGGGAAATTTTCTGGTTCCAGGACTGGGGCTGGGAAAGTACAATATCAGCCCGGAACATCTTGTGGTGCCAGAAAATAAGGAAGCACCAAAAAAAATCAAGGGGACCCATTGAAAGGACACAGGAGTCAACACAAAGGGGCTCCCAATGGCCAAATTTGGGACAATCTGACCCACAAAATAGTGTTAGTAATGGATTATAACCTATAGAATAAAAAATAAAAAGTCAGTCCATACTTATATAAATAATTTAGTACATAAATAAATAGGGGAGAAGGAAAATCTCTTTCTAACAGTAGGATTCTAATTAATAAATGTTGAAGGAAGGATGGAAACAAAAAAATCACCATTTGGCAAATAGCTGGTAATAACATTTTCAGGCAAATATTATCAGTGGATGTTAAGATTAGTAGGTGGAAGTCAGATGAGAAACAGGATATTTATGTCAGCTTCAAGTAGTTCTCTACAAGATGTATATTAATTATAATGGGAGAAATAGTGACTTGGCAGCAGAGAAATCTGACAGACACCACTTCAACCAACTTATTAAAGTTAACACCACTAACAGTGCCTCAAATGCATACTCTGAATTTAATCATGAGTAAGTAAGTATCAGACAACTTCAAATTGAGGAACATTCTACATTGCAGAATCTACAAAATAAATGGCCAGTTCTCTTCCAAAGTGTCAAGGTCATGAAAGACAAAGAAAGATTGAGGAACTGTGCCAGATCAAAGAAGACTAAGATTTACCAACTAACTGCAATGTATGATCCTGGAACGTATCCTTGTCCAGAAAAAGGACACTAAGGGACACTGATGGAATCTCAATAAGCTTTGTAGATGAGTTAGTAGCAGTGTATCGGGTGTTAATCTCCTGCTTTTGATTGTACTATGATTATGTAAGAGTAACATATGGAGACGCTGGGTTAAGAGTATCTGGGAATTCTATTTTTGCAACAGTTTTAAGTCTAAAATTAATTCAAAAACGACAAATTAAAAAAAATTCTTTAAACGAGCATTAGGTGTGCAGGGACCAGGGAGGATACAGGCTTTTGAGTTCACCTCCAGGGCTCCCGGTAACTTACTCCAATGGCAAATACTGGCGACCAGGTCACTTTGTGCGGGGGTAGGTCTCTGCTAGGCAAGAAGTTTCAGAAGAAGGAAAGAAAAGCACATCACGAAAAACAAGGAAGGTTTCAGGGAAAGAAGAAAACCTGATGCACCCTGACTTTGGCTTTTGGATGTTCAACGGCAATTCTTTCCTTCTCTCAACATCTCTCTTAGAGAAGAGTTAAGGAAAAGAAATCATGAGTGAGCAGGACATTTTTGAAGGGTCAACTCCCTACTCTCTCACACAAGGGAGGGAGGTCAGACTACTGGACAGCACGTCAAATCGCAGTGTCACAGGGAAAGGCTGAGGTTATCAGCATCCAGGGCCACAATCTGTCCTAAATTTTATGGGTTCTGCAGGGGTCAGAGCACTGGAGCCACAGGCATCACACACCTGCAGACTTGGTGCTGCACAAATGGTCAGCGTCACACAAACACAACCACACATCCACTCCTGAGACACAAAAGCACACAACCACACAAACCCAGACACCTCCACACCCTAATACACAGTCACAATCTCACACCCACTAAGAAAACACACACAGTCACACCATCTACTCTCCACCGTGACAAAGTCACTCTCATATAGTCACACTTACCACACCAATACCCACAAAGGCCCCACAGTCACAATCATGTACCCATTTCGGGGACACACACAATCATTGGCACTCTACTCCCGGCCCACTCAACATCAACTAGTCATCATCGAACATTCACTCTGAAGACGCACACAGTCACACTCACACAGGCAAAGACACTTCACACTTGCACACACAACATCGTTTCACAGACACACTCCAAGGGACACAACGCTGTCACCACACAGCCACAGACACACGACAACTGCATACAATACCACACGTGGCCACAATGTCATGCACCCAAAACCATCCACTCACCTTGGAGACATGTAATCGTAACTGCACAGACACCCGCACCCGTCTCACAGTCACAGCTACACTCACACCCCCAAGAACAAGGCATACAGCCACACATAGTTACCTCCACAATTACAAGGACCCCACACCCCAACACACAGCATCACACATGGTTACACAACACAACCAGACATACATCCTGGAGACAGGCACCCACACCTGGTCACACAGCCACAAAGACTCATGCAGAATCTGGCACCCTCAGCCCGCTCCCGCCTGCGCGCACAAACGGCAAGTTTTGGACACGCCCCGTCCCCGCCCCGGACTCCCAGACCCCTCACCTTCTGCCTCCCCTTGGTCGCGTCCGGGTCCCTGCGGAGCTAACAATCTCGCCACGACGTCAAGAGAGACGTAACGTTGGGCCGCTGTGCACTGTGGGAAACGTAGTCCAGAGCCACACCAGCCACAGACAAGATGGCCTCCTCGTACCTCAGAGTCTGAGTTTGGTCCGTTTGACACTGCGCCTGGGAAGCTTCAAAGACAGAGTCCTCACTCCAAACCTCCCACCAGGCTTGAGCTGATTTTCCTCCAAGGCAAGACTACTCACTTCGAGAGCCTCGTAATCACGGGAAGAGGCAGCCAACTTCGCGTGGGAGACACAGACAGCGATAGAATGTCGACCTGCAAAGCCTTAAGGGAAATGTAGTCCAAGGCCGGAAAAGCTGCCTTGCTGTTAAAAGACGGTAATCAGATACCAGCCTGGGCCTGGCCACGGTGACCGTGCAGGCCGCGTCGCGGAGACTTCTGGGAGTGCTCGCTCGCCCTCGGAGTGCGCAAGCGCAGCGCACCGTGTGGACATTTTGGTCTTTGTCCGCGGGTCAGTCCGGCCCCTGGGTCCACGTGGCGCTAAAGTAGGAGGTGGGATGTGGGCGTCTTGGGCCGGTGGGGTCCGGGAGGTTGAAGGGAAGGATTCCGGATCTATTGGGGCGCGGCGCGGGCGTGGGGAGTGGGTTTCAGTGCTTCTGGCCTACATGTGGGGGGGGGGCTCTGAGGAGGGTTGGAGCGTGCGTGACCGCAAGTTTGACCGGATGTTCGGGATTATTGAGTGAGAAACTGGGAGCAGGACCGTGTGTGGCTGAGTCTGAGAGGGAGATGTAGGAGATCAGCGTTGAGGTAATAACATCTGAGCCGCACTTCTCTTGTCGAAAGTGCTGATAATAACGCTGCCATCTTCCTGGAGCGTCTGTTTTACTTGAAGATTTGAAGGGGGGGTAAAGCTGAGCGGTAAACAATTTAAAAATGGATTTTTATATTAAAACGCATTTGTTTTTAATTGGGGTGAATGCAGATCACCGGGATTTCTTCTTTTTTTTAAAACAAGCAAGAATATTTCAAAGGAACTTTTCAAATCCCCTGATCTTTGGGGTACTTTAATAGGGCTGCTGTTAAGACTGAATATCAGCATTACACATTGAAAAGCAGTGTCGTATGGCGCGAAAAGCCCAGGATTAGGGAGTCTGGGGTTTGGGTTCGAGGTTAAGCACATTAATCTACATTCTTTGAAGAAAACTTAGTTGTTGCAGTGTTTATCCGTGAGTCTGGACTAGATTCTAGGGGTCCTAACTCGTAAATGAATCGGGGTGTTCCCACGTTGTATGGATTTTGTGAAGTAATGAAGAGAATACTTCTGTCTGCAAAGATGCTTTTACTCAGGAATCCGCCCACAGTCATCTTTCACATAAATTTTAAATAATAAGAAAGCTAAAGTAATTGGGTACCAAATTTAATATCGACAAATCAATAGCCTTCAAATAGACAAACACAGCCAGTTAGAAGACATAGTAGAAGACAGCCACTATCTACAATAGCAATAAAAAAATAAAATATTGAGGAATGAACTTAAGAAATATTCAAAACGCTTAGAAAAGAACATTAAAAAGTGCTAAGGGGCATAACAATAGGAAGATATCATGAAGTGTGTGCAAACTTAAGTAGATTTATTAATTTAATGTGATCCTAGTAAAAGTATCTACAGTTTTTTTTCTTTTGGAACTGGATGAGCTGATTCTGCACTTCACATGGAGAAACAGACAAGCTAGAATAGCCAGTAAAACTCTGGAAAAGAAAAGCAGTTGGGATGTGGGGAGGTGGGAGCCCAACATTACTTTTTAAAATGTAAATCCTCAGAAATTACAATAGCGATATTAGCACGAAGCAGGCCTGTGGAGGGAAATTCGGCAATATCTGTAATAACTACAAATGTACTTTCTTTTTGACCCAGCTATTTCACATCTGGAAATTAGTCCTAGAAACGTACCTGCATTCGTATGAAATGATACAGGTATGAGCTTGTTCATTGCAGCAGTGTTTGGCATAGAAAAAGATTAGAAAGAATTCATGCCCATCAGTAGGAGATTGGTTTGATAAAATTATGGTCCATTTATACAACAGAATAGTGTGCAGCTGTACAAAAGAATGAAGAGGAAGCTCTCTGTGTACTAACACTGAAATAACTCCAAAAATGTATTGTTAAGTGAAAAATGCAAGATGCAAAATGTACGTTATGCTTCGTTTGGAGTAAGAAAGGAGAGAAATAAGAATATACGTTTGTATTTACAGTTTCCATTAAAAAAACTCAAAAGGTACACGAGAAACTAATAAAAGTGGCTGTCTCTGTTGGGTGTAGTGGTACTGGGATAGATAGGGCAAAGGCAAATATTTTTATGTTTGTTTTCTAACTATATGAATTTAGTATATATTCAAAAATTAAAGTGATTTTTTATTTTATTTTTTTTGTGTGTGAGGAAGATAAGCCCTGAGCTAACGTCCGATGCCCGTCCTCCTCTTTTGTTCTGAGGAAGATGGGCCGTGGGCTAACATCCGTGCCCATCTTCCTCTACTTCATATGGGACGCCGCCACAGCATGGCTTGACAAACTGTGCATTGGTGGGCAGCCGGGATCCGAACCTGCAAACCTGGGGCAGCCGAAGCGGAGTGCGCACACTTAACCGCTGCACCACCGGGCAGGCCCCAAAAGTGACTTTTTTTAAAAGAGAACATAGGCCATGGAGCCAGACTGCCTCTGTTAACTCCTTCCTCTGCCATTTGTACCTTGGTGACCTTAGGTACTTAAAGCTTGTGCCTCATTTCTCATCTAGTAATATAGAGAAAATAACAGTATCTGATTCACAGGTTGGTTGGTTGTGTAGATCAAGGGGTTCTAAGTTCTAAATAGTGTCTTGTATGTAGTAAGTACTGGTAAATGTTAAATAGTGCTGTTATTACTATCTGCAGAATAATACGTCCTAGGAAATAATACAGTCATTCATACTGTTTCTGGTAGAAATTTCTGAAAGATTCAGATATGTAGATGCTCTTTTCTTATTTCCATGTTTAAACTTTTTTTTTTGGACATTTCTTTTTATAGCTGGAGTGAAGAGGTTAGATGTCTTAGTGTTCAAGTTACATTCATCTTTAGAAATCATCACCACCTCCTTCATGAGATTTGTTCTTTGGTTTGTATGGTTACTTTCTCATGGCTCTAATTCAGAATCTCTGATGATGTTTTTTAAAAAATCCCCGTTGTGACTTGGCGCGAATACATCAGAGGTGATCTTGAAATTGCATAACATTAGGAGGGACATACTATGTGACTGGTCCACCATTAGTGAGGGTATTTTTCCTTTTATGACCAAAGTGTAATCTGAATGGTTGTACTTTAGTACCATACAAATGTCCATTCCCCATCAATCATTTAATGGATGGTTTTAAACACCAATCCTTGGCTGAATCAGTAATTTCTTCAGGGGTTGCAAAGTGATGATTTTCTAGTTTTTTCATTCCTTTTACATTTATTTGATGGCTACCTCAAATTGTGTCAAATTTTTCTTGGCTTTTTCTTCTTTAAGCATCATTTTAAAGTTGTGTTCTAATAACTGCACCTAGTTTTCTTCAGATACGCTTATTATCACAGTTTTAGCTAGTGGATGCTCCTTCAAGCTGACTCCTATCCTATTTTGACTGCTAGAACCTTACCATTAGAGCATAGTGTTGAATATTTGATTTTTTGCCAAAGGCATAAGTGAAAATTGGCATCTCAATGTAGGTTTAATTTACATCCGTTATTATGAGTGAGGTTGAGTATCTTCCATTCGTGTAAGGGCCGCATGTATTTATCTGGGAATTGTCTGTTTATATCCTTTTCCTCATTTTTCTGTGGGGTGCCTTTTTCTTCTAGGAGGTGTTATATTACATTAGAAAGGCTAGCCTTCTGTGAAATCAGTTGCAGGTTTTTTTCGAGTTTTAAATTTGTGTTTTGACATCGTCCACAGTGGTCGTTTCTTTTTTTAAACTGCAGCATCAGGAGGTTTTTATTTTTGTGTAGTTAGATTTATCAGTCTTCTCATTTATGGTGGTAGTCGGAAAGCCTTTCCCACTTGAAGTTTCACCTATACTTTCAAATCCTTACAAGGTTATAATTTTTATAGGGTTTCATTTTCTTATTTATATTTTTAATGCATTTGGAATTTATCTTCGTATATGATATTAGGTTTTCATCCAGGTTTATCTTTTTCCAGTTGGCTGCCCGGTTCTTCTGACACTATTTATTAAAAGGTCTTAGCTTTACTGTTTTAAAATTCCATTTTTATCATATGCTAAATTCTCATATGTAATTGGTGTATTTCTGGACTTTATAGTCTCATCCATCTTCCAGTCTGTATTCATTTACCAATATTTTGAGGCCTTGTAATTTTGTTTTAATATCTCGTATAGCTAGTCTCCTCTTATTGCTTGCCTTTTCAGAGTTTCCTAGCTATTCTTGCTTGTTTATTTTTCTGTGTAAACTTTAGACTCAGCTTGTCTAGTCTAGGAAAAAAACCTTATTTTTATTGGTATTGCATTAAATTTATAAAATAACTTAGGGGAAAGACACACTAGATTTTTATGATGTTAAATACACCTATCCATGTACATGATATGTTCCGTTTTATTTTGGGTCCTCTGGAGTGTTTTAAAGTTTTCTTCATATAGGTTTTAGACACTTCTTTCTAAGTTTATTTCTAGTTGCTTTATCTTTTCTATTGCTTTTATGAACGGAGTCGTTGCGGTATATGTGAAGCTTGCTGATTTCTATTCCCTGCTTAACTTACTGAATTATTGTTTATAATTATATTAAATAGTAATTGAGACAGTGGGCATTCTTATCTTTATTTAGAATTTAATAGAAATGCCGCCATTGTTTTTGCATTAGATAAGATGCTGGCTTTTGTGGTCAGATATAGATTAGGATTACATCTATATATATAGATTATCCATGCTGCCCGGGTCTCTGGGGATGTGAGTAGAAACAAAAAGTTCTTAAGGCTGAGGCCAGATGTAACAGCCAGGAAAGATCACATTAATCAAGGAAACAAAAATCCCTCTAAACTCGGATGCTGCAGTCTTAAAAAAAAAATCACACAGAACAAAAATAAGATGCTTAGTGAGATGTCCATTCTTATTCTGTTTTCTTTCCATTCCTTTGTTTTGGGTGACCATTTCTTTGGTCAGTTTTATCTTTTTACTCTGTTTTATCTTGTGCTTTCTTTTTATAGCTTTGCTTGCTTCTTAAAGTTTTTGTATCTTATAAAAATTAGTTTTATGTTGTATTTCATTTTTTATCTGCTATGTGGCAGTATTTTTCAGATGAGTTTGTTTAACTGTTGGAAAATTATGCTGTTCATTTTCACTGTTTTTCTTATAGCATCCTTGTATGGACACAGACAAATGATGTTGTATTACTCATGTTTGTATGAGAGAGATTTTCCTAGACAAGTATCAGGAAAAAGGAGGCATATTAGCATTCTATGCTTCAGAGCTCACTTACCTCCTTTTCTAGTGTTTAAAGCAGAGCACTTCTGCACCTTTTCTGGTTTGATGACTCGAACCTGGTTGAGGTGGACTTCTATCTCTGTCTTTCTTTTTTTTTGTAATCAGAGCATTTTAGTTCCAATCCATTGTCCTTTTTATTTAATGTCAAGTAGCATCATTTGTTTCTTTCTTTTTTTTTTTTTTTGTGAGGAAGATCAGCCCTGAGCTAACATCCACGCTAATCCTCCTCTTTTTTTGCTGGGGAAGGTCGGCTCTGAGCTAACATCTATTGCCAATCCTCCTCCTTCCCCCCACCCCCCAAAGCCCCGGTGGATAGTTGTATGTCATAGTTGCACGTCCTTCTAGTTGCTGTATGTGGGACATGGCCTCAGCATGGCCAGAGAAGTGGTGCGTCGGTGCGCACCCGGGATCCGAACCCGGGCCACCAGTAGTGGAGCGCGAGCATTTAACGGCTAAGCCACGGGCCCGGCCCTATCTCTGTCTTTCTGTTTCCCATGATTCTTCACAGTACTTGCCTTCCAGGATGATGCATTCACTTTTAGAAGTTGCTAAATCTGGGGACACCGCGCTCGCGAGTACTTTTTAAGTCTACTCTTTCTGCTTCCCCCTACAGTCCTTTTCTCTTTAATCCAGTTCTTGCTTTCATCACTTCCCTCTTAGGGTGAGGCCTACTCATTCTATAAGGAAATAGTAGCTGCAGATTTCTGAACTCTTGTAAGTCCTTAGAATCCCCCTGAGCATTCTCAGTTCTTCCTAGGCTTCTTTGCAACTTCCTGTTTAGGCCTCCTGTTTGGGTCTGTGGTACAGGAGTTTGGGAGTTTCTCTGTCCCTAGTTTTGTTGTTCATTATTAGACTCAGTTACAACAGTTTTCACTCAGGGTGAATCCCCCATTCTGAGAATGAATGTTTGCTAGTTATTTCTGAGATCTGTTACCTCAAGTACTTCTCACCATTATCTAGTCTTTCTTGCTACACCTACCACACTATTGTGGTTTCTATACCACTTCTGCTATTTTGGGCTGTACGTACATATAATTTGGAGTTAACATATATTCTCTCTACTAGTTTCACTAAAAATATAGTGAATGAATTGGCTGCTTATCTCCCCTCCTCTTGCCCCCATTGTTCTTGATGTTTTGTATTGTTTTCAGGAGAAGTACTTGAAAGATTCAAAACTAAGCAGCCATCGTGCTCCTGTGAAACCTTTCCTTGCCTCCTTGGCTGTTGGTGTTCCTAGGCTTCTGTCCTCGACCATCTTCCATACTGTCTGTATTCTCTGTAAGCAGTCACAGTAACAGTCCACCTGTGTCTTGAGGAGCAGTGATAGTCTGACAACTGACAAATTCCCATTTCCATTCCAGGCCTATTCGGAGCTCCTTATCTATATGTGCAATTGCCTAATGGATGGATCTGCCTCCATGTTCCTCAGAAACCTGACACTCTGAATGTCCAGAATATCAAACTTGGTCTCCTTCTTCCTGCAGATTGTCTCTACCCAAGTCACTCTTTCATGTTTCTCTCTGTGTACATTACTGTTTAAATCAGGCTCTAAGCCTTCCATCTCTGCCACACCCCGGTACAAATTGGTGACCAACCTTTTTCAACACCCGTAGCAGGTAGTGTGTGTGTGTGTAAGTAGTAACTTAAGTTTTTTTGGATTTTACTTTTTTTTATATGATTGAAATTTTATAGAAAAGTTGGAATAGTACAGAGAGGTCTCACACACCCTTATCCAAATTCACCATTTACATTTTGTTTTTTTGCTTTATCTTTCCTTCTCTCTTTCTCTAAATATGTGTGTAATTTTTTTCTGACCTATTTGAGACTAAGTTGCACACATGCTCCCTTTATCTATAATAGTTTAGCATGAAGTTTCTGAGAACAAGGACATTGTTCTTGTTCTTAGGACATTACCACAATACGGTAATCAAAATCAGAAAATTTAACATCAGTACATTACTATTATGTAATCCAAAGTCCATATTCAGATTTTGTCAGTTGTCCTAATAATGTCCTTAAAAATAGTTTTTGAATGAATGGATGACCATATATTTACAGGACATTTCTAATAGATAGTTTCACTCAGAGTATAATACAAAGTAAATATTTGGACTCCAGGAAAACTTTTTGAGTTTTCATTCCTGAATACTGTCAGAACAGCTTCCTGCACATTGTGTCCTTGTGGCTTTGTTCTGATAGGCATATATTGCTGTAGTATTAGATATGAGTATTGAATTCATCCAGGAATAAAATGTCAGACAATATATAAAATCCACTTAAAATCTACTTAGGAACTTATGCAGGAGAGTATGCAGGAACTTATTGCTAGAGAACAATAGCAACCAGTCATGTATGGTATGGACAACTTTCTTATGTAAGTAAAATTCTGAAAGTAAATTTCCTGTGTGGAGACTTAAATGATTTAGTAGGTATGGCTTTGAAATTCAGGACTCAAATAAGCTTAGTCGCTTTGCTAATATAATTGTGTGTGCTTTAATGTCGAAGGCAGAAGGTCATTACTTTGTTCTTTTCACAGGGCCGCTTCCTTGTGCATCTCTGGAAACTGCACCTTCCTCCTTCTTCAGAAGGCCCCAGGGCTCAGCCTGAGTTCCAGGATGGTACTTTGGCTCCAGCATTAGTATTTTAGAGCCGTGTCATTTCCCCGATAGCAGGTTATAAACTGAACAAGCTGTATGTGATCCTCTTTCGGAGCAAGACGACGAACTCTGGATGGTGGAGAAAGAAGTGGAAAGGAAATTTGTCCAAGTGAGTGAATGACAGCCAGGCAGGTCACAGTTGTTTAGTCAGCATTGACACCTCTGAAATTCTTTTAAGGATGTTTTCTTATAGGCCCTAGTTTTGGAATATCACTTGGTATGAATTCTTTAGATACTTGAATGATTTCCAATCATCACTTTCTCTGTTTCATTACTCTGCTTCTTTAGTCTGTTCAGAGGGCCACGTGCCCCTCTTATCTCTATGCTGGATGTCAACACTTCATACTTCATTTGTACTGCCTGTGTGTGATCTCTTTTTCACATTGGTGGTACCCTTGGTCTCATATTCCCCCATGTATATAGATTCTTTTCCTCATGCATTGTCTTTTATAGGTCTTAAGTCTTTACATATTGTCTGACGTTTAGCTTCTTTTCTCTTACTTACTGGTTTCTCTTGTTCTTCTAGTGGTTAAATGCCTCAGAATTATATTTTAAATCTGTAATCATATTTCCTTCCATGTGTTGTCTTCTTACCATCTCCTCCGTTATACATCAACAGACTCCTGCCTCCCTCACTTCTGCCCTCATATACCTCTTTCAGAAGTTGTTGCCTTAGAAATCAGTTGCCTTTCTGCTGTTTGTGTGTGTGTGTGTGAATGTATGAGTCTGTATTTGTTTTTCAATATAATACATGGACTTGTAAAAATTTTTGAACATCAAATTATACAGTGAAAAAGTCTCCTCTTACCTGTGACCCTCAGTCCTATAGTTCTTTTTCAAAGATCCAGTTACTTTTAAGAGTTTCAGGTATCCTTCTTGAGGTACTCTATGAATACACCAGCATATATTATGTATCGGTGCTGCAAATAAGAATATATTTAAGCCCTCAGTTTTCATTTTCATATTAATGGTGGTATGTATTCTATTTTGTACATAGTTTTTTCTTCTCAGGGAGGTTCTCTACAAACGCGTAATTTATTTAACCTGTCTCTTATTAGTGGCTATTTAGGTTGTTTACAGGCTTATGCTATCAAAGACGCAGGTGCATATACCTGTTTAGATTGCTTTGTAGAGCTATGCAGCTGCAACTACATAATAATTTAAGTGGAAATGTTGGGTAAAAGTTATGTTTGTTTATAGATTTGGTAGAAATAGGCACACTGTTCTCAAAAGAAGTAAACCAATTTACATTTCTACCAACATGCTATATTCATATATTCAACCAGTATTTCTTGAATGATATGTATTAGGCACCATTTCAGTTACTAGGGAAATGTCAGTGATTAAAGCAGTCAAAAATTCCCCTGCTGGGGCCCATATTCTAATTGGGGAAGACAGACTATGGGTAAATAAGTAAAAAGGTATATTCTCTCAGATGATAGTGAGTGCTATGGAGAAAAATAAAGAAAACGGGCATAGAGAGGGCCGGTTGGGAGTTATAATTTTAAATAAGTTGGTCAGGGTGGGGTCTCCCCAAGAGGATGACATTTGAAGAAGATCTAAAGACTGAGAGTGGGGCGTGCAGTGTCTGGTGGAAGAGCATTTAGCCAGAAGGAATGAAAGTGTTAAAAGCCTTGAGGCAGGAACTTACTGTTCAGGGAATAGTGATCAGGGCAGTGGGGTGGGGGAGAGTGAGCGGAAAGGAATAAGAATTGGTTTGGTTAGCTAACAGGCCAAATCACAGACTTTGGTCTTTATTCTGAGTGATTTGGGAGACCATCAAAGGATTTTGAGCCGAGGAGTGATGAGATCGGAATTACATTTTGGCTGATATATAGAAAATAAGGGATAGGGGGCCAAGGCTCAAAGATTACTCAGAAGCTATTACAATATCTAGGTAAGAAAAGGGTAGTAGATAAGCTAGTGGCAAGAAGTCAGATTTTTAAGATACTTGAATAGCTGACCGGATTGGCTGATAGATTGTGTGTTGGTTATGAGAGAAAAAAGGAGTCATTGATGACTCCAAGCTTTTAACTAGAAGAGAATGAGTTAGCATTTACTGAGATAGGAAGACTTCAGGAATTTTGGGAGTTAAATCAAGAGTTTTCTTTTGAACTTGTTAACTGTGAGATGTCTGCTGATTATCTAAGTGCATATTCAGGTAGGCAGTTGGATATACAAGTAAGGAATTTAGGGAGACAGATATGACCTCTTCTGTTCTGCTGTACTAACAAGCTGCTTGATTCAGTGATGGTGTCTCTGCATTTCTTTGTTCAGTCCTACTTTTCCTGCTATTCAGGGATGTCAGTGAGTCCATCAAGTCACCTACTTCCAGCCCTCATTACCGGATTCTGTTATAAACAAAGAGGTGGTAATTTGACCCTTGAGGCTGTGCCTTATGTTTTTGGAGAGCATTGTGCGTGAGAGCTCTTCCTGAAAGAGCAGTGGCAGCTGCCCTCTCACATGCTTTCTCATAAGACATTACAGTTATCGCTACTTCCTCTTATCAACAGTGAAGTTTTCCTTTTTTTTTGTTAACTCTCTCCTTCACAGACATGACAAGTGGGCAGAGACGTCTTTATTTTACCATTTTATTATATTTTATTTTGGGGAGGAAAATCAGCCCTGAGCTAACATCCGATGCCAATCCTCCTCTTTTTTGCTGAGGAAGACTGGCCCTGGGCTAACATCTGTGCCCATCTTCCTCTACTTTAT